CCTAAACCCTAAATCCCTCAACCCCTAAATCCCTAAACCCTAAATCCCTAAACCCTAAATCCCTAAACCCTAAATCCCTTAACCCCTAAATCCCTAAACCCCCAAATCCCTAAACCCTAAATCCGAGGCTTGAGCTTGGCAGCAGATTCGGCTGGCGATGTGAAACCCGCTTCGATCTCTCTGCATGAGCCTGGAGCCCAGAAATCACTCACTTACTGGTTAGTAGGGAATAGGGTTTAGGGTTTAGGATTTAGGGTTTAAGGTTTATTGGTGGGGAATAAGGTTTAGGGTTTAGGGTTTATTGGTGGGGAATAAGGTTTAGGGTTTAGGGTTTATTGGTGGGGAATAAGGTTTAGGGTTTAGGGTTTATTGGTAGGGAATAAGGTTTAGGGTTTAGGGTTTGTTAGTAGGGAATAAGGTTTAGGGTTTAGGGTTTATTGGTGGGGAATAGGGTTTACGGTTTGGGGTTTATTGGTGGGGAATAAGGTTTAGGGTTTAGGGTTTAGAGTTGTATGTATGTATGTATGTATGTATGCATGTAGGGATTAGGGTTTAGGGTTTGGGGTTAGTAAGGAACAAGGGAATGAATGATTATATATATATATGTAATTCTCATATACTCCCTATATAGTATGCGTATTCCCTTCTTTCCTACTAACCCCAGCAAGACGAGGGTTTTGTGTTTTAGGGCACGTGTGTAGCTGATCATTTAAGCAGCTTTTCTAGACATGACCTGTTACTTGTTTTGGGGTTGCTTCGCTCTATCATGTTCGAGGGAACCCGCGTAATTTTGAGAAATGCCCACGAGGGGATGTATCAGCACGTGGGATCGGACGTACGAAAAGGATACAGAGAAGATACTTTGCTTTAACAATGCTTCCTGGAGAGGGTGTGGGGGAACCCTAAACTCGGCCTTAAACCCTAAACCCGAAACAGCAGCTTGTACGATGGCATGGTTCAGGGTTAAGGGCTATGCAATTTGAAGGCTTGACAGGGAGAGAGAAGCCCACGCGGACATCTCATCTACATACCTTCGCAAGCAAGGGCTCTTTGCAAGAACCCGGAGTGCGGACTCCAAACCATTTTCCATACCTAAAGCCTTACATCGTCCTTATGACGAAAGCTTCTTCCGAGCTGGCCTGCGCGGAGCCAGATGGCACCCGTGCAGATTTTCGGGGGTGCCCTGTCAGACCCCTCTTAGCGTGGTGGCAGTGGGTGATTATAGGGGTTATATTGGGATAATGGAAAAGAAAATGGAATCTACTATGGGTTTAGGGGTTTTAGGGTTCAAGGGGTTAAGGGGACACATTTGGACAAGGAGTTCTCCTACAATGCGCTCATCTGTTCGGTAAGCCTTCGCCCCTAGAGCCTTTGGAGTGCACAGAGTCGTGACAGAACGCCTACTTGGAGGTCCCTGGTACTTATAACCTACTTAGTAACTGTAGTTATAACCCAATTATATATAGGGTAACTGTAGTTATGGGGCTTATAATTATGTTATAACTACAGTTACTAAGTAGGTTATAAGTACAATGGACCTCCAAGTAGGGACTGCTGTAGGGATCCCTGCCCACGTTCCCTACTAATAACCAGTAAGGTTGTGGGATGGTACACTGGTACACACATCCAAGCTGCACTCAAGGAGTGTGGCCATGGTTCCACGCCAGAGAGATGAAAACATTTCCTAAGGTGCGTTGAAAGAATTTACGATCCCTTGAATCAGGAGGCTGAGAAAGAGGCAGCTGATCCCGAGGCAGCTGCTGCCGTTCTGACCTCAGTGGGCACTCTCCAGATGAGCCATACAACCTTAGATTCCTGAAAGGTTGTCATTGTTGGGATTCTATAGGGAAGTATTATATAGGCGAGCACTATAGGGGGTATTCAGGGGGTTAGTTATAATTCCCTATATGATCCCAGTCTCCATTTCATTTTCCACTTTCTTTTGCATTTGATTCTCCATTATAAGGGGACTATATCCCAAAACCCAAAAACCCTAAGTAGTAGTTTCCATTTTCTTTTCCGGTTTTCCAAGATAACCCCAATATATACCCCATAAACCCTAAGCCCTAGGGGCGATTAAGGGGGTACTAAGAGTTTAGACTATAGTGCGGATGGGGGTTGCCCCCGTATCCTACCGTATTTCGGGCTTAGGGTTTAGGTCGAACATGTATATGATTGCTGAAGGACATGCTACATAGTTAGATGGTTATCATGAGTACACAAGTCAACCCTTCTGTGTCTGCTGCAGTCGGACGAGGCCGAGATAAAGACACCTACACCCTTAAAAGTGTCAAGACACCATATTGTTAGGTGCAAGACCGTTTGTCATTGTTGAAATAGTGGTTGTAGGTAACCCTAGACCCGTGACCCCGAACCCCTAGCATATCCCTATGTATCTCTGCATACCCCACTATTTCCCTAAAAACCTTCCATATTCCCCTAGACCCTAAACCTTAAACCTACTAAACTCTAAGTTGTAAGAGTGTCGAAGTTCTTGACCCGAAATGTTCCAAGGCAAAAGCGGCTGTTGCAGAGGCGAAGGCCAAGGCAAAGGAACTGGAAGAGGCCTAGGGGCTCAGACTTAGTGGTTTAGGGTTTGGGGCTTTAGGGGTTTAGGGTTTTACGGTTTTAGGGTTTCAGGGTTTCAAGGTCTTAAGGGTTTTAGGGTTTTGGGGTCTAGGGTCAAGGTTTAGGGTTATCTTAGTTATATAGGGGTTATACAGGGAATTTATTAGGGGTGCTGGAAAAAATGGAAGCTACTATTTAGGTTTAGTGTTTAGGGGGCATGACTTCGGGTGTACGGTGGGCGGTAGCAGCAGTGGTGGTGGGATGATGGTGGCGGTGGCGGTGGCTGTGGCGTCGGTGGCCAGCTGCTGTGGCTGTGGCCCTGGTGTTGGCGGTTGCGGTGGTGGGTGGCTGGTGGCTGGTGGCAGTGTTAGTGGCGGCTGCAGTTTGCTTCTTGTTGGGCTGCATGTGAAAGCTGGGTGAATCTCATTCAGGGGCATTGGTGATTGGACCTTGAATCTCCTGGGCAGAGGGCAAGCAAAAGGCTTGCGTGACGTAGGGACTTTCTTCAAGTGGCCCTGTGCAATCCTGAAGATGGACCCGTTTTGTCTTCCTGTTCCCTCTATACGCGTAGCATTCGTAAGAGTTCCCTGATTCAAAGAAGCTCCTGCTTATCGCAGCAGGTTTTGGGATTATCACCTTGAGAGCCCAGGCGCGTCAGAGACGGAAGACGAATGAGCGCCCAGAGCTAAGTTCCCGCGGCTGAGAGTTCCTTGATTTGCAGAAACATGGATGGCATGCAGATTCAGAGTAGATGTAGTGGTTGTGGTGGTGTGAGCAGGAGTAGTAGCATTAGCAGCAACTGTAGTTGTCCTGTTTTAGACATGGCACACAGTCTAGGACAGAGGGAAACCATAGAGTGCCTAGCTTAATGTGTAATTTCCATCGATGCAGTTCACGATGTGGCTGTGCCGTGGTAGACATGCCTCCACTTGCTGAGCCATTTTGGCTTCATGTCTGTGATGCAGCCCAGCTTCGTAGCGCTAGCCAAGTATGCCTGACCTGGCTGTGTAAGCATCATCTGAAGAACATGAAGCCACGGGTACGTGGCGAGCCGCGGCAACATGTGTGGGGCAACTTCCAGGAGCATGCTCAGTGGTATCAGAAGGGAAGCTGGCATGTGCTAAGGACAAACTCAAATCAAGCACATGTCGGCAGGATTACTACGGCATTCGGAATCCAGGAGGGGAAGATCCAAGGCTTCCGTGGCTTCGTGAGACAGTTTGTTGGGAAGGCCTGATGGTGCAGTATGGTCGGGATGACAGCTGTAGGGGCGGGAAATCATAGTCCCCGTTGTTGCGATCGTCATCGCTGCATGGTAGTGGGTAGCAGGAGCAGCGACTTGATGGCGATGGGTTGGTGGTGGCGGCGACGGCGGCGGGGGTAGTGGTGGTGGCGGTGGCAGCGGCGGCAGCGATGGCGGTGGCGGCGACGGGGTTGTCGTCGTCGTGGTCGTTGTTGGCTAAGGCATGTTAAGGCCTACATTGCGAATCTGTTGTAATTCATAGCAAAACCGGCACGCGCGCAGCTCGCGAGCCGGCCAAAAACGATCATTTTAGCGACACGTGCCAATTCCGTGCGCGAATCTTCCATTTGGAAGTGGCATTGGAGCTTCAGCACGTGATCTTGGGAAGATTTGGCAGTTGCCCATCAACAGCGCACGGCGAAAAGGCACATGATAATAATTGCAGGATTTTCAATTTTTTTTTGCAGCTGGTTCTGGAACCAGGGGAAGCGGTTCTGCGAAGAAGGGGATATAGAAAGGGCAGAAATGGCAGGATTCTCTCAGCGTTATTTATTTCTTTGGGTGGGGACGCGGTGTTGGGGAGATCTGGCAGCTGCCCATCAACAGTGCAAGGGGATAGAGAGCCAGGGGAAGCGGTTTTGGGGAGATTTGGCAGCTGCCCATCAACTGTGCAAGGGGATAGCTAAATGGTGCTAACGCAAGATTCTCTACGTGTTTGTTTTTGGGTGGTTCTGGAGCCAGGAAAACAGTTTTGGGAAAATCTTGCAAATGCCCATCAACAGCGCAAGGGGATACAGAAAGGGTAGAAACGACATGATTCTCTAGGCGCTTGCTCTTTTTTGGGGTGCTGGAGGAGCCAGGAGAATCAGTTTTGGGGAGAGTTGCCCATCAAAAAAGTGCAAGGGGATAGAGAAAGGGTAGAAATTGCAGGATTCCCCGGGCGTTTATTTTTTTTGCGCCAAGGGAAGCGGTTTTGGGGAGATCTGGCAGCTGCGCCCATCAAAAGTGCAAGGGAATAGGCAAATTGTACGCAATTGCAGCAAGAAGAGGCCCGCGTGTTCTTGGACGCTGAGGGGGCAGAGATCCCGCCTCCCCAGCCATGGGCGCGGTGTCGGCAAAGAAGCAGTGAAGTCCTGTATCCGCAGCCGGAGTGCAGCTGACGCACTGTTTTAAATGCGGCAGCACGGGGCATCGGAGCCCCACGTTCCCGGTGAAAGCCGAAAATGCAGTTTTGCCAGAGAAGCAGGTGAACAAGGCTCAGTTCCTTGTTTTGCAAAAGCACCGGAAGTTGGCACAGGTTGCCCGAAGGTCCAAGTTCTTCAAGCAAATGCCCCGCCAACGTGCGAGGGCACAGGTACTTGCTTCCTGCTAATGTGCAACCTTGCTTGAACTGAATAATGACGTCAGGGGCCTAGAATTCCAGAAGATTATTTTTACAAGGGTCCACCTAATACTGAATTCGATCTTAAGTTTTGCACTGACTGAACCCACTAATTAATGCAATCATTTAATTCATTACTCAGTCATCTTCCATGGAGTTTAAACAGATTTTAAAGGCAGGCTTATCTAATTCTTTGATTATCTATTTGGGGGGGACGTCGTTTAACAACAATGGGACGCGATGAGCGCGCTGCTTGGACATGGGGCGCATGAGCCCATAAGTTTGCACAAGGATGCTTGTGAAAACAGCCATTGTTTTGAGACTAACTAAGCACTTGTCTTGATTAGGTTTAGTCTTTTCGGCCAGGACGCTCATCGAAGATTGGGTGCTGTTGGATCTACAGGGGAGGCCATGCGCCAATCCAAAATGCCAGCAGCCGAGGAAGGACCGGAAGGGCTACAGTTCCATCTACCAGGTTGCTAGTTCTCCAGCCAGGCTTGCTTGCCAGAACTTTCGCGGTGATGGGATTCTTGATCGGCTCCGTGCTTCGCAAAAGCCAGATCACCCTGATATCACGCGTGAGAGCGCTAAATGTCAATGCCTGGCTTGCCGCAGACATACACCAGTGAACCCGGGCAGCCCCTTGTTCCGATCCATGGGCGGAGGGAGTTACTCTCTCACGCAACAGGCCTTGGCCATGTGGAGTTGCACCGAGGGGGTGTCCGTGGCGCACACGGTGAATTGGCACTTGTGTTGTAGCCGAGGTGTTCTTTTGGTGGGGGCGCAACGAATAGTGGACGAGTGCGCAGTCTTGGCCCTCAGTACTTGGGGGGGCAGCCCCCGCTGCACAACGGGTATGCAGTCTTGGCCCTAGCCTTGTTGTTGTTGTTGTGGTGGCGGCGCTGGTGGTGGGGCTTGTTTGCTTGCTTGCTTGCTTGCTTGTTTCTTTGCTTGCTTGTTTCTTTGTTTGTTTGTTTGTTTCTTTGTTTGTTTGTTTGCTTGCTTGTTTGTTGGTTTGTTAGTTTGCTGGTTTTTGTTTGTTTGCTTGCTTGCTTGTTTGTTGGTTTGTTGGTTTGCTGGTTTTGTTTGTTTGTTTGTTTGTTTGTTTGTTTGTTTGTTTGTTGGCTTGTTCGTTTGTTGGTTTGTTCATTTATTGGCTTGTGTAGTGGCTAGTTACCTTGTGTGTCTGTTTGTTAGTTTGTTTGTTTGGCTGTGGTAACATTTCTTTGGGTTGTGATATTGGTAGGGCTGGTGATGGCACTGGGGCTGATGGCTACTTGTGTGCCAGAGCTACGACAGCTTGTTTGGCAGGCAAGTGCGTCCTTGACTTGGGATGCAATTCTGGCCACATTACGCGGGCGATAGTGGCGGAAGGTGCAAAGCTTGCCTTGGGCGTTTCTACAACGCATGCAGTAGATTCTGAACGGCTTGGTTCCCGGTTTTTGGTCTTCTTGAAAATGTTTCTGTTGTTTGTGATAGACTTCTAGGTTGTCTTTGTTTGTGATATGATGATGATGATGACGATGATGACGATGACAATGACGATGACAATGACGATGACGATGGTGGTGATGATGGTGATGATGCAGTTTCCCCTGAAGTCACAACTTCAGTATCCGAATCCTTCCAGACTCCAACATTGAGCCCTGGACCCTAAGCCCTGAGCCCTAAACCCTCAACCTCAAACCCGAAACCTGCGAAGCCTTAAACCCAAGCCCTCAACCAAAAAACTGCCAAGGTTGACGTTGATCCTGTGCTGATTGATGAGGCGAATGAGCGCACATCCTCCGAGCTCCTCGCATCCGGGAGGCGCATGCTGAGTGCGCTTGTGCAACCCCAAGGAACCACGTGCATCAGGGTTCTGGGTATGGGTGTAAAGTTTAGGACGTCAGGATCCAGGGTTTAAGGTTCAGGGTTTGGGCTTTGGAGATGGCAGTTTCTGCTTTTTGTGCATAAAAACAGTCGCTTACATTGCAATCACGATGGAAGTGATGTTGGAACGTATTGCCCACGCATGAAAAGTCAAATTGCACAGATTGCGCCAGGATTCGGTTCCTATGTCGTGATCTATTTCGTTTGAGATTGCGGCGCAAGTACGATGTCGTTCTGTTGCTGAGCACGTCCAAGTGGGTACACTTGCAGTGACGTGACTGCAAAGATGAGTGTTTCTCAAGGTTATGGATGTCTCGTAGCGGTCCACGTAATCAGGATCCTGTTATGTTTGCGTATGCAAGTGGGGAACTTCAATTTGAGAATGTCCAAATTGACAAGTGTGAATGATTATAGTTGAGCATCGGAGCTGTTGTCCAGTGGCATGTTATTGGTACGCTTTATTGTGACCTTCACCTTTCTCACGAATGTTGGCACTGCGTCTGGCAGCCAGACTGTGCGTTAAGCTCTTTACGGTATGATTATCCATTTTTCTGCTAGCAGTGGACTTTCATGGGCTTTATTTATTGAGACAAGATTTGTCATTCGTATGAATCATTCCGGTTATTGGGTTGCTACTTTGGGTCAGTATAAATTGGCGCGGTTTGCCGTGTGCTGGATGCAATGGATGTTTTTTTTGCTGATCTTTCTGGGCTAATTTCTTGAGTGACATTTTTCGCAGGTCCTCTTTCCCGAGCTAGGAAAATTTTCATTCAAACTACAACAAGGTCATAAATCATTACGTATATCCTCCTAAAGTTACTGCAGCACTAGCGTCCCGCGCTAGCCCTGATATAGCTATAGTACTTGCACACCCAACCCCATTTTCAGAGGCGTACTCTTCTTAACAGAGTATAATACCATCCCTCTCAGAGGATCACACCCAGGGCTTCAGAAGCTAACAAGGATAATGCAAGGCTTAATCAAGGGTCCTCAATCTGGGAAGGGTACCCTTGGGGGCCCAAAGCCCTAAACCCCAAACTCTACATCTTAAACCCCATAACATCTGGACTGGTTCTGAGATCCTGGATTTAGCAAAGCCCCTTTCCTCCCAAGCACCTTCCTGGACATACCCTGCTCCAAACGGACGTGGCGCCCTTCTGAGGGTGCCTTGGAAAAGGATAATCGTCTTAGGGTTTAGGTTACTTCATCCCGAGTCAGACTATATTTCAGGATCAGTAGCGAAGTCCCCTAGTATGGTTCGTAGGTCCCCTGCTCGAGTTCCATGTTAGTTTGGCGAGGTCAAAAATGCGTTTGAGCCTTAATCCCGGAATTCTAATTCGAAGCCATAAACACCAGGCCTTGAATCCGGAGCCCTAAACCAGGCTCTTGAACCCTAAGCCCAAAAAAGTGGACCTCGAAACCTGAACCGAACCCTAAACCTTAAACCCTGGCGTGCAGCAAAAAAAACCTAAACCACCATGAATCCTACCCTATATACCCCTTTATACCCCTATATACCCCAATAGAGTAGCTTCCATTTTCTTTTCCATTATCCCTGCAGAATCCTAGATCCTACCTCCCTGAGGTATGGAGATGAGGGCCTCAAGCAGATCTTCCGTTGCTGCAGACGCTGGCTATGCCCAGGTGGGTTGTACTTTGAGTGGGGATGCTGACGTCCTGAATATACAGTAACCTGATGAATATAACCTTACTTGTTTCAACCAGCACAAACCACCCCTCAGTGAGGGTTTCTCAACAAGTAAATGAACGTCGGTTGCTTGCCTGGGGCATATGTGTGCAGTTTGTATGAATATCACTGGGCCCTAGGAAGCTCTTTGGGATCCCCAAGCCCAAGCGACTAAATGGTGCTTTCCCAAAATAGGGGGACCTTAATATAGACCCCAATATAGTATAATCCTTATTATGGGGACCCCCCAAAACGGTACCCCTAATTTGAGGTAACCCCCAAGTCCCCTTGTTGAAGTTTCTGCAACTTGTGGGCTGCTACGCCACGTATCATTTTCCCCAAGGAAGAGAATCGGAACTTGAACTTCAAAAGGCACCCAAGGCTTACGCAGCCACAACAAGGTCTGGAAGTGGGCCTGGCGTTAATTTTAGGCTTTAGGAATCCGAAAGCCCAAAGTCTATGCTGTAGTGGCCACAGACGTTAGGGCCCGAAGTGGTTATCATTCATAGGCTTGAATCCCCAGGGTTGCGTAATCGTTGGAAATTATTTGAGGATTCCCTTGAGGCCCTACAGCTTCCAATATGTGCTTCTTGCGAAAGCCCCAACGTGTGTCAAAATTCTGAAAACAACAACAAAAGCCCAAACCCTCATACTAAACCCAAACCCCCGAACCTTACCACCCCGTCCCAGCCCTAACACAAGAAAACAACTGAGAGTCAGTTCATAAACTCAAAGCCTCATACCCGAAACCTTGAAGCCTCAAAACTTAAAGCCTGGAACTGTAATCCTTAAACCTTGAAACCTGAACCCTAAACCCCGCTCAGACCGCG